CTTTACAATATACGTTATTTGGATATAGTAGTTGAGGTTCTACAATTTAAGTTGTTATAGACTTAGAGCTGAGGTCGCTTGCGGCCGAGGCATTTCAATGTAAGCTGTTGGTGAGTTGCATGTTGAGGTTACTTAGGCTCTACTATATAAGCTGTTGAGGATTTAGTAACTTAAGCTCTCACATGCTACTTTAGCATTTCGATTTAAACTGTTAGGGAGTTGTAAGATGAGGTTGCTTACAAAAAAAACTATTCTTCTTATAATCTTATAACGCATAATCTATAATCAAGTAATTTTTTTACAGGAGACCATTTATGCTGGAAATGAAATGTATAGTTTCAAAAACGAATACATAGACTTTTTTTGAAACATCAAGACATGAATTGAGAATCAAACATAATCATGGATTTAATTTCTAAAATTAAAATGTGATACAAATTTCCAAAGTCTTTGATAATATTATCATTCAACAAGATAAAATTAATATTTACGTATCACAAATTTCGAAAGAAATTTATATACACATAAGTACTTGGAGGTAATAATTTACAATGTTGAATTTACCGCCGGAGAGAATATTAAGCCGCACTTGTTACAATATAAATACTTGGAAATTCTCCCGTTCATTCTCGCAATTTCACCGGAACAACAGAAAATTAAATAACAAAATAATTTATTTTTTGCGAAAGACGATTGGATATAAAATCGAATTTATCGCGAAACGATTAGAGTTATATTCCGAAAATAATGAAAACCCAATAAAAAGTGATATAATAAAAACGCGGAAATTGGTTTTTAGACGCACAATAAAGTCGCAATGCGAAAAGTTCACGATTGCCACTAAAAGTGCGCATCGAAAACGGTATTACCTGGCGAGCGAAAACAGTAATTGCGTTTCGCATTTTACTGCAAATCGATATTAATTTGGCTGAAAATCTAATCCGAAAACGTGGTGAGGGTTTTAATGTTTACACTAAAATTAGAGGTTTAAATTAATTTTTTTTACTAGACGGGTTTATTTTGAATCTTGGGATTTGAACTCACGAATGTACAGATTGCAACATCTGCAGGCGATTTTATTCAGCGTGAGCGGAAGCGAACCGGAACTTCGGCCCCCCCTTCCCTTACCCCTCCGGGTTCGATGAAGTGGAAGTTCAGATAACGAATACACCGGAGGTATCCGGTGCTTTTATGAATAAGATATATGGACCGAGGAGAGGCGGACCCCAACCACCCTAAAGCTCACGTTGGCTTTTAGATGTTTACACAACAAACCATACACTTTCAACGTATACTTCACCGTATAGAACGCGCAGAGGAGCTTCTCTACCCTAGATTGTGAGTTGGTTTTAATACATTAGTTGAGAACGTTTACTTTTTCCGGTATCTCGTGTAAAACGAGCTTTTATGCCACAACTTGATTAATTTCTTTTAGTGTGTTGTTTTACTCCTTAAACATAAATATATAAAATACACGCACTTACACAGTAATAACAATTAAAACATCTGAAGACGCACGGCTAAACCCGATACTTTCTAGCTCTAGGTCTAGTGTTAGTTCTAGTTTTACACTACCACTGTTACTATGTGAAATTAACACTATACCTAGTACTAGAATCATTTAGGTTTAGCCGCACGTCTCTAAAGACGGCTAAACCTGAATGATTCTAGTTCTAAGTATAGTGTTAGTTCTAGTTTTACACTTGCACTGTCACTGGAACTAACACTAGACCAAGAACTAGAAACATTCGGATTTAGCCGCACATCTTTCAAGACGGCTAAACCCGAATGATTCTAGTTCTAGGTCTTGTGCTAGTTCTAGTGATAGTGTTAATGTAAAACCAGAACTAACACTAGACCTAGGACGTTCAAAATGTGGAAGATTTCAAAAATAAAATTAGTAATTCATTTGACGCAGTAAAACAAATTCCCGGTATCTTTGAACGTATTAGAAGTTCATTTAAAAAACGTATCTATTTGTGTTTAGAAGTAAATGGTGCGCATATTTAACGTTTATTATGACATGATTCTTTTCCAATTTGTTAAATATTCGTTGTTTTTATGCTAGTTGAAAGATTTTCTTCGACAATTTTTGTTACTTGTTTTGTTAAATTATTAATGACTATACTAATTAACTTATTAATTATTAAACTTTATCTTAACTATCGTAACCATGGTAATCATATAATTACTGCATCTAAATCGTTACAATTAATGATGTTAACAAACTTATGAAACTAAAACTTTGAATATCTCGAAAATGGTCCATGTTCGGACCTATATTTATTAGACTTTTTTTGTCTATTTTCGATCAGAGAATACGCTGGTGAAGTATTATGCAATCGTTGCGAGATACCCTGTATAAATCAACATCAAAATTTCAATTTTGTACAAAAATTACAAAAAATTTATTTACACCTTCAAATCTATACCATTAAACTTCACCAAACACTTCATTTTTAATAAGAAATCCCATCAAAACCTGCCCTCGACATTTTCCTTAGCAATGCCTGGCAACATCCAATATTGAGGGAGGCAACATCATACTTGGGGTCCTTTAGAATCGTCTGTGATATTTCTCAATATCATCCTTGGTCTTCCTCAACATCATCTATAAAATTCTACAACAGCATCCATAATCTTCACCAATATCATCCTTGGCTTACCTCAACATCATCTGTAACATTCCTCAATATCATCCTCAACCTCCCTTAACATTCTCCTTAGCATTTCTCAACATTCCTCAATATCGTTTTTGCTTCCCTCCATCATTAAATATTGTTCGTGAAAGTCCTCAAGATCGTCTTGTAATTTAATATTCAAATATCCTCCAAAAACATCCTTACCTCTCTCAATATCCTCCCTTAGCGTCCTCAATTCATTTCTCAACATCATTCATGATTTTCTGCAATATCAACCATAATAGTCCTCAATATTATTATATCTATAACATTCCTCAATATCAGCCTCAACATCTCTCGGCATTCTCCTGAGCATTTCTCAACATCCCAACCACATTCCTCAATACCATTTTTGCCTCCCTCAACATTCTCGTTAGAATTCTTTAATATTATTCGTGGCACTCTTCATGATTGTCTGTAACATTCTTCGCCATCATTACTAGTTAATATTGTCATTCTTGACCTTCCTCAACATCGTTTTTGATCTTCCTCTACATAGTTTATTAGGTTCTCCAACAACGTCCTTGACCTCACTCAATATCTTTTGAGATATTCTTCAAAATCCTCTGTGATATTTTTCAATATTATCTCTAACATCCTTAATTAACCTTCTTTTAGATGTTCCTAGACTTCCTCTACAAGTTCTGTCTGCAAAAACGTCCTTGCCTCTCTTAACATAGTCCATTATTTTTCCAACGGTTAAGTTTTGTGTCATCTTCTTTTTTATAAATATTAAAAAGTGGTGGGAGTGTATAGTTTAGTTTAGTTACTCACACCATTGTATTCGTTGACAATAACATATTGCGTCTGGGTTGGGTTTACGTGACCGAGAACCATCTGTTTGTCGGCTGTAAAACTCGGGGTTGACCGCGACGTTTATCGTTGCGATAACGCGGTTTTGAGTGACAAGTTCTCCCCCCGTTATATTTGGCAATGTTAACCACGCACGAAGAGGGGCACTCCCAAAAGGATTTTACCACTGCGAGAGAACTTTACTTTTCAAAATATTTACTAGAATCTCCACGTACTAATGGACTCTGGTAATAAGTTATCAAATTGGACCCCATTTCCTATCTAAATATATCAAGTTGAAAGAAAATCTTTGGTAGTTGCGCTTTCAAAGATTCAAAGAGAAAGATGGAACTGGAAAAAAAGATTATTCCCTCCATCCTATTAATATGAAATATGGGGCGATCGATAAATAATATCGCGGGGACCCTCCGGCGTTGTGAAGTGAAATATAAGAAGATGTTACGGCGTCTCTAAGTAATGTACGTGGAGAGGATCTCGTAAAACTCTTCTTCACCGACCGTGCCCAAGACGTAAACAAAAGGAATTCGACGAAATCGATGAACCCTCCTCGTGTACGTACCACACTACATCACACCGGGGATAATTTAAAAGTGGGGACGATATTTCACGTTGCCGTTTTATGGAATTGATTTACGACGAAACATCTCACTTTTTCAAAACGTTTTTAAATTGAACGTTGGTTGTTGAATGAACACAAATCCCGTCGGATTTTCGTGAACGAGAATAAATCGAGCCCCGTTAAGTCGCTTAATTGATATTATTACTTCTATTTACATTGCGGAGGACAAACTCATAAATTCAAACGGACGGACGCGGCTTGTATTAAAGTGCTCCGAAACAAGAAGACGGGCGGCGGTGGTTTTAGAGGGCGTCCGGTTTCAATTAAGTTTTTCCCCCCATCTTCAATTTGCGAAAAGAAAAATAACGGGAGGAATAAATTTGTTAATGACCCTTTCCATTTTCTTTTGCACAACCCGGATATATTATATCCCTGAATGCACAGTTCGTGACGTCAGAGATTCCTATTAATTAATTAGTAGAGAAATTGATTGATTTCATCCCCACTCGAAACGCATACATAATCGTCATGATCGACGTGATATTGTGTGAGTGGGAAGAGGTTTTGGGTGCAATACCCATTTACTTAATGCAGTAACAACCACCCAAACCCACTGTGTTTCGAGTAGTTTGACCGTAAACTTGTATCCGAAACTCGAGAACATCATTTGTCGATTCAAACTCCGAATATTAATAGTGTATCATTTAGCTTGAGGGTGCATTTATGCAACTCGGGGGATATATTTGGTAATCGTGCTTGCGGGGAACTCTCGGAAAGTGGAAAGTACTCTTATTTAAGCAATTAATAATAAACTAAATCCCGAATTTACAGCGATTAATAAGATAAATTGCGTAATTTTTAAGTTTGAAAAAAAATTACAACACGCTACGATTATCAGCTCGAATTTATTTGTTGACCTCGAGGTGTTTTCGACCTTGGCCGAGTATACACAGAAACAACCAGTTCATTTATAGACACCGCTCGGCGCTGTGTGTTGGTGAATAAAAAGTGTATTGTGCAATCATGAAATTTATCAAATTAAATAGCGGACATGAAATGCCCGTTTTGGGGTTAGGAACTTATCAGGTACTTATTTTTCGCAATATATTACTCACAAACTCGACATTCTCACATTATAATCTTACTTCCATAGATTTCGTTTTTATGATTTCCTTTTCTTTTAACATTAACACTTGATTACTCCAAGTGATTAACTATATATCAAAAACTTTTGGTATATCAAATATCTTTATGTGTCAAAAAATATTTAATGTTGGAATTACGAATATTATAGATAAGGTTGGCACAAACTGAGAACGATATTGAGGAATGAAGATGATACAAGACGAGGCAAGAACGTTTTGGAGAATATTGTAGACAGAACTTGTAGCGGAAGTTTAGGAGGATTAGGGATGAAACAGATTATCTTAAGGGATGTTAGGGACAATATTGAATAATGTCGCAGAGGATGTTGAGGGAATTCAAAAACGATATTGAAGAATATCTTGAAAGATATTGAGTGAGGTCAAGGACGTTGTTGGAGAATCTAATTAACTATGTAGAGGAAGATCAAAAAGGATGTTGAGGAAGGTTAAGGATGGCAATAATAACTAAGAATGATAGTTAAGAATGTTACCGACGATCTTGAGGAATGCCACGAGTATATTAAAGAATTCTAATGAGAATGTTGAGGGAGGCAAAAACGATATTGAGGAGTGTGACGTAGGATGTTGAGGAATGCTCAGGATAATGTCGAGGGAGGTTGAGGATGATATAAACGAAGTTGAGAACGCTAAGGGGGGATGTTGAGAGAAGTAAGAACGTTTTTGGAGAATATAGTAGAGAGAATGTTAGAATGTGCCACGAATAACATTAAAGGATGGAGGGAAGCAAAAATGATATTGAGGAATGTTGAGAAATGCTAAGGAGAATTGCGAGGGAGGTTGAGGATGATATTGAGGAATGTTACAGACGATGTTGAGGTAAGCCAAGGATAATATTGAAGGATGAGACTATGGATGATGTTCTAGAATGTCATAGATGATGTTGAGGAAGACCAAGGACCTCCAAGAATGATGTTGTTGATTTCCTCAATATTGGATGTTGCCAGAGATTGCTAAGAAAAATATCGAGGGCAGTAATGAAGTGTTCGATGAAGTTTAATGATATAGATTTGAAGTTTTTTGTGGTTTTCCTATTAATAATTAATGTTTTGATGTGGATTGTTTATTCGATTGATTCCTATAGTAGACGCCACGAGAGCTGGCAGTAAATCATCATTTTCCGCTCTTACAAATGCCATACGTAGTTCACAAACCGCTATACTCTGTTTTTAAACCAGGAGGAGTAAACGCGAAAGTCAGATTTACACTAGGAAAATATCACTAGATATTTTGGCGGTAAATTTAAATTAATAATTATTATTATTTATTTATTTACTTATTATTGTATTTATTTTCGTTTGTTATCGTCAACACTAAACATACAAATTAACATTGAAGTTATGAGTGTATTTATTTCAAAATATAATAAAGAAGGGTTTAAGAACACAAAATTTACAATAATGACACGAAACTGTCGAATTGTCAATAACCTAACCTTCAAATTCAAAATTGCCTGTGTGTGAACCTTCCTCGCATTCAACCAATCACGTGCAAGGTCAATCTGGTGACAAATTTAAAATACTCCTCCTGGTTTAAAAACAGAGTATAATTGCCAAAGAAAACTTCAAGGTATAATTAATGTTTGTAAACAAAACTAACCTTACCTAACATTCCTTCACGCTATAATTGACATTACAAAAGAAAACTTCACGCTATAATTGCCATTACTAATTGCCAAAGAAAACTTCATGGTATAATTAATGTTTGTAAACAAAACTAACCTTACCTAACATTCAGCGTCTGAAGACACAGGGCTAAACCCGAAACTTAAAAATATACAACTAACCTTCAAATTCAAAATTCAAAATTGCCTGTGTGTGAACCTTCCTCGCATTCAACCAATCACGTGCAAGGTCAATCTGAAATTCAAAATCAAAATTCAAAATTGCCTGTGTGTGAACCTTCCTCGCATTCAACCAATCACGTGCAAGGTCAATCTGGTGACAAATTTAAAATACTCCTCCTGGTTTAAAAACAGAGTATAGAGAGTAATGTGTGTTGGAAAGAGATAGCATTAGTTTAATATGTCTGCTGTACAATTCAAATGGCCACGTCGAAAAAGTACGTCTGTTCTTCTAAGGGATGTCACTCTATAATTATAACCTCAAATCGAAACGTCTTGTGAGAGTTGTCATGAATCTGTTATAATCTGTTATAGTGGGCGTGTTCACCAACTGTCAACGTTTGCAAACGGAGACCAAACTGTTGGCAACATTTCTGGTGAACGCAAAGCTAACTTCAAACGTGTTTGGTAAACGGCCGCCATTTTATCAATCGTATGATTTTTCCGTTAGCAAACGCAAACGGTGTTTGGTGTTTGTGTCATCTTAAATTTAAAATCAACAAAAAAGAATGGCAGAAGCCCGAAATTATTTATTTAATGGGTTAGTGTATACTATCTTTGAAAATGAAGAAATTCATGATAAATTGAGCGGTATGACCTATAAATTAATTAAAATTGTAAATAATTGTCATTAAAACGCCATCTATTGTTATCAAACCGTATGTCTATAGAAAAATTGGCCGTTCACCAAATCACCAATGCAATCGTAACCCGTATGCGTTTGCCAACGTAAACGGAATTCTCTGGTGAACGCGCCCAGTGTTTTCACAAGCCGAAAATGTTTTCTTTGAAAGGAAAATCATAGGAAAATCATTAAATAATATCTTTGACAATGTTTGACATATAATACTAATATAACCTACATTTAAATGTATGTGGTGAAATAATCTAAGTCGTACGTCCATATCTTGATTCATACCATTTTTAAGCGATCTTTAAGCTCTCGTGGTTTCTACTATATCATTAAATTTCCACTTATAAGTGAAGTTTTTGATGAAGTTTAATGGTCCTGATTTGAGGTTGTAATTAAATTATTGGTTAATAGTTGAAGGTTTGATGATGGTTTGTTGGTTGGATCGAACCCTATTGGGTTAACATTGGATTTCTTCTTACAAATGAAGTTTCTGATATACAGGGTGTCCCGTTAAGGGTACAGAGCGGCTATATCTCGACAACGGTAAGGCCTAGAGGTTTGGGAAAAAAACCTTATAGGCAAAGTGGGCAAGAAAAATAGCTGGCAATTATTTAGAAGATCGTAATTCGACCGCTATGGGGCGTACCTGCCATAGAAAAATGAATTTTTCTCTTGTCTTCTTGAGTTCACAGTTTTTTTTGTGAACTAGTATTGATGATGAGTTGTTATTGATTTCAACTCTGCTGGGTTGACATTAAATTATTTGTTATAAATGAAGTTTAATGGTATAGATTTGATGTTGTAATTAAATTTTTTTTATTTTTTAAATTTTAGGGTGATCAAAACGAGAGAGATGTAGAAGATGCTGTTAAAGTTTCGATCGATCTTGGTTACACATTATTCGATTGCGCTCACGTTTATAACAATGAAGAACAAGTTGGGAAAGCGATTGAGGAGAAAATTAACGAGGGAAAAGTGAAGAGGGAAGATTTATTTGTTGTGACTAAGCTGTGGAATACGAATCATAACCCGAGGCATGTTGAGAAGGCGATGATGAAGAGTTTGAGCAAATTAAAATTGGATTATGTTGATTTATATTTGATACATTGGCCAACAGCTTTCGTGGTGATTATCAATATTAATTTTTTTTTTAATAAGCTATATTAAGAGTATTTAATTTTAGTACGGTGATGACCCTTTCCCCAAAGACGATAACGGGAATGTAATCCCCGATTTAGGGACGACTTTAGAAGATACATGGAAAGCCATGGAGGATCTCGTCGATAAAGGTTTTGCTAAATCCATCGGAATTTCTAATTTTAATTCGGAGCAGATTGAGAAGATTATGCGGGGCTGCAAAATTCCTCCTGCTGTTAATCAGGTAAATTCGAAATTTATTTATAATTTTTTTTAATTAAATAAATTTTTTAGATTGAGTGCCATCCTTATTTAATTCAAGAGAAGTTGCGAAATTTTTGTAAAGAAAAAGGGGTCGCAATAATGGCTTATAGCCCTTTAGGATCGAGACATAGACCGTGGGCGCAACCGGGGGATCCCGATGTTTTATCGGATCAAAAATTATCGGGGATTGCAGAGAAATACAACAAAACTCCAGCACAAATTTTGTTGAGGTTCCAAATTGAATTGGGGAACATAACAATCCCTAAATCATCGAATCCTAAGAGGTTACAACAAAACATCGACATCTTCAACTTCGAATTAACCAAAGAAGACGTCGATTACATAAAAACCTTCGATATGGGGGGATGGAGAATATGCAGCCTATCAAAGTGAGTACCAATCTTGATTTAAATATTGATCATTGAGTTTGTGTTATGTTTTTAGTGCTAAAAAGCATCCAGAATATCCTTTTCACAAGGAATATTAATTAATTATTTAATTAAGAAAAATTTTTGTGAGTTTATAATAAATTAAAATCCCCCCTTTTTTAATAAATGAATGAATAAAAAGGGTGAAATTATAGGCAGTTAGCGGTAATCGTTTGATAATTTACGATTATCCCTCTCCCAACCCATCCAAAAAGAAAAAAAATGATAATAAAAAAGAAAAATACTCCGCGAAAAACTTTTAATAATCATTCCCAATAAATCTACGATAATCGTGCCAATTTAAATCCCGGAAACTGTATTACGCCCGCCTTTCCGACCCTAACGATTTCCTTAATAAAATCACCAGACGTAAAAAACGCAATTTTCCCTCAAATCTTTCTTTGTTTCTCAAATTGAAAAATTAATAACCGAATTTTTACCCATATAAATTAAACGTATAACGTGTAATATAAACGTATCGTTTTACTTTGTATATTAACACGAAATGAAATACAAATACAAGCGGGTTCATGCATCAGATACAGACATTTCGATATGGCCATAATAAACCTTTTGAGTTGCACACTGTGTCGCGGAACGTTTGAATCGGCATAAATGTAATTAAAATTATGAGATCAAACGTAACGGTTTTGTATATGTAAATAGGTTGCGTTTAATTAACGATTGATTTATGCGAATTTATAATTTCGTTTAAAAAGTATGAAAATATACTATTAAATTGTTGCTGACAGAATATGATCGTGTGATGTAAAAAGTAAATATATGTATGACGGCTAACTTACGGTAAAGAATCTTCGTGATTTAGTCGAGATTGAGCTTAAGTTGAGCCGAGGTCGCTTGCGGCCGAGGCATGAGATTGGGTACAAAATATATAACATTTTTTCTGGTTTTTCAACAATGCTGAAACAAGTTCGAAGCCGAGGTCGCTTGCGGCCGAGGCACTAGATTAAGAACACATTTCAAACATTTTTTAGTATACCATTTATGGGATTATACATGAGATTGGGTATACAATACAGGTGTCCCGTTAAGCGTACGGAGCGGCTGTATCTCTAGAACGTTAAGGCCTAGAGGTTTGGGAAAAAAATCCTTATACAGGGTGGTCCCTTACTAATGGGACACAGAGCAACAGTGAATTCCTTACATATAATTATTACGATTTAACCCAATTTATCTTAGTCCAATTGTTAATAATAACGAAGATACAGATGGTTAAAGTTAATACTTTATTTTCGTTTTTCTTTAATAATTTCGTTGTCTCTTACATTATGAACATGAAAATTGGTACATTAGTATTTTTTTAGACGATAAATAATAAATTGGTATTAGTTTTGATTTCTTTTTCAGATGGCGCTGTCTACCTTAAAAAACCACCCTTAAAGCAGTCATATCTTTTTCATCGTTAAAATTTTTACAACTCACATAACATAAAACAGTTTCTCAGACATTTTTACATAAATTTGGTATACCTATCAATATTCTCTAAAGTTCTCCGTTCCCGAGATAATCACTGTTTAAGGGCACTTTGCAAAATTTAATATCTCAGTAACATCAGTTGGCGTTGACAAAGTTTTTATTTAGTCAAACACTAGACAATCAGTTTGACATTCAGTTTCATTTTACGCTCAGTATTATTGTAATCAATGTATTTGTTACTTTGAAATAATGCCCCGGCATAATTTTTTTTCTAACACGGAAATGCGTGATATGGTGTGCATATACGCTCAAGAAAAGTTTAATGGAAGGGAAGCGTGCAGAAGATATTTATTAAAATACCCCAACAGAAGACAACCAAATCACAAGTTATTTAAAAATTTGTATGACCGCTTAGGTGAGACTGGTTCATTTCGTCCTAAACGAAATACAGGTCGTCCAAAAAAGATTTCCGTTGATGAAGAAGATGAAGTTTTAGTACGAGTTAGTAACAACCCAAAAGTTAGCTCTAGACGTTTGTCAGCTGCAACCGGGTTAAGCAAGTCGTCAATTCTACGAATATTAAAAAAAGAAAGACTGTATCCATACCATTTTGTACCTGTACACGCCTTACTGCCTACTGATTTAAGAGTTCGGTTAGAATTTGCTAATTTTATCAAAAATCGGCAAAATTCTGACCCATCGTTTATTGCCAACATTTTATTTACTGACGAGGCGACATTCACTCGTAGTGGGGTTTTTAATTTTAAAAATTATCATGTTTGGGAAACTGAAAACCCACACATGACACGGCAACGGCATTTTCAACATGAATTTAAAATAAATGTTTGGTGTGGAATAATTGGAAATTATGTGTTGGGTCCGCGGGAATTACCAAATAATTTGAACGGCCACAATTATTTACAGTTTTTGCAAAACCAAGTAGACGATATGTTGGCTGAGTTACCATTAAATATTTGGACTGTCATGTGGTTTATGCAAGATGGAGCACCACCCCATTTTTCCAGGCAAGTGCGAGATTATCTCGATATGAATTTTCCACGAAGATGGATTGGCCGAGGTAGTCATTACACTTGGCCACCACGAAGTCCCGATTGCAATCCTATGGATTTTTGCGTATGGGGATTTGTAAAATCCCTTGTTTACAAAGACAATCCTGAAACTCGTGAGGAACTGTGGCAAAAAATTGTAAAGGCANCTACTATTTGTTATCTTCTTGAATGACCTTCTAGACAAATTTTCATCAAGCGTACTAGCTTATGCGGATGATCTGAAACTATTCCGACCTATTTTTGCGGACCGTGATGTTGTCAGTCTTCAGTCGGATTTGGACGTCTTGGTGGAATGGTGTAACCGTTATCAGCTAAAGATTAATGCCAATAAGTGCGGTGCAGTTAGTTTTACACGCAAGCTGTCTCCTCTTCCATCTTCTTATTATATAGAAGGTGTTCTTCTTGAGAAATTATCTACAATCAAGGATCTGGGAGTAACTTTTGACCGGATCATTTTCGCGGTGCCTACGCGTGCAACACGTTTATTTGAGGAATTGCAGATCCAATGTTTTAGCCAACTCCCCGGTGCAGAGGATGTGTAAACTAACTAACAATCAATAATAGTGTAAGAGTGAGAGAGAACAAAAATTTTATTATCTAGAACCTTCCTTCACACTTTATCCAAGCTTAGAACTGCTTCAAAACTACTTTTAAGGCGTGTTTAAGGCAATGATAATAAAACAAAATAAACCAAAACACTTACAATAACTTAAATTTTTGGCAAAAATAACTCACTAATGTACGAAATGCCTTCCATAAACCTCGATGCATTTATTTAATCTAGTTTCGACGAAAAAAAAGCGCTGCTTAAGTCTCGGCCCTGGACACGTTTCTACTGGTATTTAGTGTTTTGTCATATTTTCCCTGGTTATTGGTTTTTCTTGAAAAGTCAGGTCGTTTAGTCTACCCAATAGATAAAGGGGTGAAAGCAATGTGGGTTTTGCTCGAACCAAGAATGCATATTATGCAAGTTTACATCAGCTTGTGGACAGATGCTTCATGCATCCATAGCATTTGTGATAAAAGGTTTGGATTTGCCCAAATCATATTTAAAAGTCAATGGTAATAGTTCAGTCTGTTATCATAATCGGTATCTGTTAAGGCCTGATGTAAAACAACGTGGTGGAGATATTATTCTCTTGAGAACTCTTGTGGACAATTGTTTTCGGAGTTCCCAGATTATGTGGGATCACATTGCGCACCAATATGATTTACGAATTCATAGAGATGTCTGAATGGGCTACACGTTGCCAGTTTTCCGTAATCGCTAAGTCAATCTTAAAAACACTTCTAGAGAAAAATGTCTTTCTTTGTCGTAATTGCATTGCACATTTTTGCCATGCAGTTGCATCGTATTCGAAACATTGAAAATAAATCATCATACGCTCTATCATACGCTTCTGCGTTAGTAAATGACATGTTTACAGTTACCATGGTAATGTGATTTGTTTTTCTCGATGAGGTAACTGGATCCGATTGATGGCACTCGAGTTTTTAACATTTTCTTCTATAACTCGAGAACGGGTGGCGATATCGAGATGCGGTTTTCACTAAAATTTAGCAAATTTTAAGGTGACTAAGGGTCTGTGAAGTAAATAGTATCGTTCCATTTAACTTTTCTTCAAAAATCACAAAAATATGTAATCGCTGCAGATAACGTCCTCTAGCTCATTTGTTTTAAAGCAGACGGTCTTACTGAAAATATCTTTAAAAAGAGCATAAAATGCTCTTTCAAACAACACCGAAAACATTCAAATCGGTTGAATGGTCTAGGAGATATTAAAATGTAAACATATGAAAACGCATTGGCCTCCCCCTCCCTTATTATGACAAATATGAGAAATATCGCTAAACAAAAGCGATGCGGTATTATCCAAGCTATTAAATGATGTTGTCAAAGTTGTAGCTCATCGTCTAAGTTTCTGAGATAGCGGGAACTTTATGTTTCTCAATGGCAGTTACGCCCCCTAACTGCGGTCGAATTACGAACTTCAAAATAATTTCCAGCTATTTCTCTTGGTCACTTTACTTATAAGGATTTTTTTCCCAAACCTCTAGGCCTTAACGTTCTAGAGATACAGCCGCTCCGTACGCTTAACGGGACATCCTGTATATAACTTTTTTTCTGGTTTATCAATAACGGACCTATGCGAAGTTAGCCCCCAATTAGATAAGATTTTACATGTATAGTATTTTGATTATAACAAGAGAACCAGTCAACCGATTTCGATAAACAATGTCTCATTCGAAAGCGTAATCTTTGACCAATACGAAAGTGGAAATGTTCGATCTCAATATAAAAAAATTAATTTAAACTAAATCGACTATAATTAGAGAACGGTTTGACGGATTTTAATGTTTTATATGTCAATTAAAAGTTTGTGTCTGGCTGAATGCGGTTGTCGAAACACAAAAAAACGAATTAATCAAACACATCAATTATCTCCTTAACTAATTGACCAATTTTAGTCATCAACATCTCGATCAAAAGTATGATCTTCAATGAATGCGAAGGTCGAAATGCCCGATTTCAAAATTTACTAATTACCTGCGTACGGCTATTGGAATGACCGACTGGAAGTCTAGCCCCCAAACTTTCGATTGAGATATAAACATTAAAATCCGTCAAACCGTTCTCTAATTATAGTCGATTTAGTTTAAA